ACCCCACATATCTTACACCCTGTGTGCCTAGCCCCTGGACAGGACAGGATGGGACCTGCTGGCAGAAGCCATGGCTGCAGGGGAAACTCCAATACTGCAGCCCTGCCCCATGACCCCACCAGTGCAGGTACATGCAGCCCCAGCCTGGGGGTACTCCTGTTCCCAGGAACTATTTGGGTGTGTGATGCACTGTGGGAAGGGAGGGAGGTGGAAGCAGGGGTATGTGTGAGAGAGAACAAGATGGGGGTGGGGGAGCACTTCTGGTAAGAGAGGCCACCAGAACCCAGCTTAGAACCCCCCTGCCCCACTAAAGCAGCCTGTGCAGGGGGAGGCCAGCTTGGAAGGGAAGGGGCTTGCCTAGTCCACTCCCTAAGCCCCAGTTAAGGGCTTCCCAGGAACAGCATGGGGATCACTGGGGCCTGGGCACAGGCACAGGGAGCAGAACAGCAAGGACTGGCACCGCTCAGAACTACAAAGCAGCAGGCGGGACAGCTGCAGCTGAACTCATGTCCTGGTGCTGGGACAGAGTTGCTGCCACAAGGGAACTAGTGGGGGCAGGCAGGGGCTGTGGGTTGGGAGTGAGGGGTAAGGGCAGGGGCAGGACACCAGCATATCAGTGTTACTCAGTGCCCCACATCCTGGTGAGTGAAGGGGGCAGGGGCAGCTCTGATTTTTCTGTGATAAAACAACCAAAAGCAAACACCAAAGTGTATAGATATTTAGAATTCATTTATTATGATGATAGGGGCACTAGTAGGCTTCCAAATTGCTTTAAATTTGTAAATATATCAATAAAACACGAGAGAATTGGGGGGTTTTATCAGAGAATTTGCCATTTTTAAACAGGAAGCACCAGAATCTTTGCTGGTGAGGTAAATGGCAAGACCCAGGCAGAGAAGCCTACTCTTGGCCAGCACCAGGGACCCAGCTAGAGTGCAGATGAGTTGGCTGACTGGACCAATTGGATTCAAGAGGACTCTGACAGTTTAAAGTAGGCCACCGCAATGAGCACTTCTTCTGGACAATAGGTGCCCTGGTGGCAGAGAAGGGGCACCAGAAGACATGACAGCAGTGTCGCCCAAAGGCCAACTATGCAGATATGGTCCACTAGCAACTGGCCTTGAAGTGCAGAAGGCTCTGCTGCAGTGCCCATACCACAGGCCAGGTGGCTGTGCAATCCCCACCTGGGTCTGGCAGGTGCACAGCCATGTGGCCACAGGTCCAAGGGGGTAGATGTTGTCACAGGTGGCAGCAGGTGAGAGCCAGGCAATAGCCACCACTGCCAGACTGCTGCCATGGGTAGAGGGTGCAGGGGCCGTTCTAGGTTAGGGCTGCTTCAGCAGTTCAGCTGGCAGAAGAGGCTAGTGTTCCCAAATACCAACTGGCCCGGCCTCAGAAGCTCCTGAGGGCAAGTAGCCCATAGCTGCTCACCAGGGCAACTTTTTTATACTGTTGGGTAGGGCTGTGCAAAGCTTCGGGTGCCAATTCAACTCAGGGGAGATTTGGCCTAATTTAGCAGCCAAATCTCCAAATCAAATCAGGAGATCAATAAAAAGGTCTGAATTGATTCAAAGCTATCTGAATCAATTCAGAAGATTTGGAGAGCTTCAGAGATCCGGGCAGTCCCTGCTCACTGCTGCAGGGAGCTGAACCTAGACTCTATGCTGGGGGGGGGGCAGTGGAGGGGGGGCGAGGGGGGGGGGCCACGA